CTTTTGTTCATATTTACCTTTTCCTTGTTCAACTTTCAGATTTCCTAATGAATAATCTTGCAAATATAGACGCTTCTTTCTTTTGCATAATCGTTTGGCTCCAGCTCGGTTAATTATGTAAGAAAAGTTGCAATTTTTTAAACTAAAATGGCTTTATTCTCATTCATTATTAATCATAAATAAGGAATTCGAAAAGAGCCTCATTATTTCATTCTTACTTTTTTTTTAATGCATCTGAATATAAGTTACAACAATCGCATGTGCATCGGTGGATTCATAAAGTCTACTATCAACTAAATCACAACGCTCGGTTAAAAGATAAAATTTATTCAAGACGTTTTGGGTCCGTCTTATCATATTATTGGATCGTTTGAACTGTTTTTTGCCATCGATCTTTTTGGGTTCAAACCCGACTAAGTGGTTCGATAACTTTCCAGCTGCATTCCATATCTTCCACTAAGAGCCACCACATATTGACTATATCAATTCTAACAAGAGACAATAGCCACATAGCAATAATGTACGAGCAGGTCTTACAAAGGCATTTATTTTGGCATCAGTACACCATTATGAAATTGAAAATAAAATGCGCAATTTTATCCAAGTGGGTAGAGCATTTTGTGTGAGATTTGACTCGTAAAATAACTGCAGAAAAGCTCTAAGATGAAATAATTTATAGTTGCGAAGTATCCAACTTAAAACAACTGTTTATTGTATATTAGTTGTTATTTTAATTCAATTCTGAAATCTAATGTTACTGACATTTGATGTTCTAAAACAACTTAATACATGCGCATATATACTTACAAGGTAAGTACTAAATTGAGAATCTTTTATTGTCAAATGTATATACGTTAGTCTTCACGAAGATTAAAAGAAAAGTGGTTTTGCTAACAATCCATGAACATATGTTGCATTGCCGAAATAACTTTATAAACTCTCAGGTTAGGGTGACCTAAGTTTCACTTTATTGTTACAAGTTGTCTCGTTTTATGTGAAGTATTTGAGAGGTTAATACGCGCTTCAGGTTAATTCCCAGTGATAAAGAACGAAAGAAAAAATACGGAAGAAACAACTCTTTCCCCGTATCTATCTATGTATGCATATATTTGAGGTCGGATTTAAACGTAAAATTTATAGAAAATTTTTCAAGAATATGCTTGAAAGATTAGGTTGACACATGCAAAGATCGGCGAAATCACAGATCTATTCACAGATATATTTTGAGTGTCATAGACTCACGCACACCCATATATATATATATATATATATATATATATATATAATGTGTCCGAAATAATTATTAAGTAATAAAATAATCATAATTAGCCTCTGCTAGAAAGTCAAGTTAAGAATTTCTATTTTTATGGATGAAGAACGAAGGTACTTTAAAAGGTTTCTCTAAGGTTTCTTTAAATCAGCTGTTTAAGCTTAATATCAAAATGTTGGCAATATCTAGCATATATTTATGGGGTTGTTGAATATTATTAAATCCTTTTTACCACATGACTCATGGAGAAATTAGATAACATCGGACCCAGAGGCGAGAAAAATAGAATCGTTTTCTGTGTAAATAATATATATATATATATATATATATATATATATATATATATATATATATATATATATATATATATATATATATATATATATATATATATATATATATATATATATATATATATATATATATATATATATATATATATATATTACGTGATTAAACGATTGAGACATATAGGACTTCCAGTTAAAAAAAATTCGAAATAGTGCTTTGGAAATTCATATATATATATATATATATATATATATATATATATATATATATATATTAAATGAACAGTACTTAAGCGCTCAATATCAGTGTTAGAGCTAACATATTCAGTTGTATGGATATGGGTTTGTGATCCTGGGTTTCACGTGAAAGCAAGATCCAAAATCATATCCATACAACTCAATATATATATATATATATATATATATATATATATATATATATATATATATATATATACGTGTTTGTGTATATACACATGTATATATACATGTACATATATATATACATGTATATATATATATATATATGTATATATATATATATGTATATATATATATACATATATATATATATATATTTATATATATATATATACATATATATATATATATATATATATATATATATATATATATATATATATATATATATATGTGTGTGTGTGTGTGTATGTGTGTGTGTGTGTGTGTGTGAAGAAGGAATCTAAATGAGATAGAATGTATTGACACTTTTTACTAAGAACCATAGCAGAAAAATTCATTTAGGGGTTTGTATGTGTATTTTTGTCTCGTACATCACCTCCATAACTACGAGTTATCTGAAGTAAGAATTGTTTTCGGTAAAATTTGATAGCCAAACGTAAATAAGCTAACATTTGACGTAGTAAAATATTTGATAAAACAAAACTTAAAGAAAGAAAAAAAAAAAAAAAATGAGTAGGAGATTTTCAGATGGATAAAAATATAAGTGTGCAAAGAAAAAACTGTTTTTTTTTTTTTTTACAGAAGAAAGAAAGATTGCAACGATTATTTGGAATCAATGCGTGGATCCTCGCTAAAAAAAATTAAAATTTGGAGTGAAAAGAAAAGATTAAAATACTTCCGAAACGAATAAAAGAAAAAAAATTATCTGAAGAAGACGAAAATGAAATAGAAACAAGGCAAAATAAAGAAAGAGAGTAATAAAAGAAAAGTCAAATAGAAAGAGTTGAAAAATCAAAGAAATTAAAGCAGGTAAGATATAAGAAAAGAAGGAAAGAAAAAATAAGAAATCATGAAAAGATTAGAAAAGTCAGCGAGATGCTGTAACGGAGCAAAAGAATGGACGTTAAAAAAAAAAAGGAAAAATGAATAATGATAGACAAAATGGAAGATTGAAAGAATTATAGAAGAATGTAATGGAAAACAAAAACAGACAGAAAACAATGGAGATGATCTAAATAGGATAGCCTGAAAAACTGCTGAGAAAGAAAAAACGAAAAGTAAAAGAAAAATGAATGGAAGATAACTGAAAGAAAGAAAAGACGTAAAAGGAGGATACGGGATCTAAAAAGAATATTGTTGAAAGCAGTTTAAAAACTGAAAGAAATAAGACGTCATAAATGGATGGTTTATGTATGGAAAACAATAAAACAGAAAAAAATACGACAGTAAATAAAGAATAAAAAGGAGGATACCTAGGTAAAGCTGAAAATAATTGTAAAAAGTGTAAGAAACATGACTGTAAACGTGGATAAATCAAGAAAGAAAATGAAAGAAAGAATGAAAAATGAAGAATAAAGAAAAAGCCAATAATGAGAAAAGCCATTAACGCACGTTTCTTGGTACGGAACCCATTTCGGCAAGTTAAAAACGTGGCTTATTTGCATCGATCAAACTGGTTGTTTAATCAGTGTAGCACTAAATCTAATTAGAACTGTATGTAATTTATCTGGATGGCTTCTTCGGGATTTTATATCAACATTTTGAACTTTCCTTTACGAAACTGTGACTAAATTCTGTCTCATCTATTTACCTATTAATTATCAAGAAAGAGTAACAGCGGGAAATGTTTTTCTTTTATCATAATTTAATACAGAAGTTAATAGGAGTTCCAAGTAATGCGCAGGAGGTGAAACTGATTCAGAAAGAGAAATCATCGATTCGATTTCGAATTCAGGTAAATTTCGTTATATTCTCTTTCACACAAATATCCCTGGGAAATCCGTATCTTATTTCCCACAACCCCAGCAATAAGTTAATAGTAGAGCAGATAAAAGTCAACGAATCTCATTATTTAAAATAAGTGTTTGTAGCCTTCTAGATTAAAATAATCTGAGCTGGTTCATATCTCTCGAGAACAAGGAAATAATTTAGTAACAGGATATTGTCTAAAAGCTTCGAACATTATAGATTATGTAAACGAAGACTGTGAACATAATCTCTGGAACAGTAACCGATTCCAAAGACTTTTACAGAGGTACTAGAAAAGTTAGAAAGCTAGGTAAAAATTGAGATCCTGTAGACAACTGGTCAGAGAAAGGGCCAAGCGGATTGCTGGATATGTGCGAGGAGCTGTTGTTACTGGATGTGCATATGGCGTTAAGATACTATATTAACTACTACTACTACTACTACTACTACTACTACTACTACTATCAAAACTACTTCTACTAATACAAATACTGATAAACAGAACAGGCATTGGAAACTGATGAATTTAGCAATATGGAACTGACATTTACGTCTCAAATCACTGAGGCAAGTAAAAACATTTTAAAACCCTTGAGTATGAATGGAAAATTATTCTCTACACTTTTGCATAGAAGATGCTGAGAATAAAACGAAAATATACCAAGATATAGTGTCTTCTTTTGTTCCCAACAGTCAAGACTTACGCAAATAACAGCAGTAATAATAAATGCAATGATAAGTATCAGAGTTTTCGACGCCATAGCTTCGCCTTGATGCCCGCTTGGAGCTTTTATACAAATCGAAGCGGCCTTTCATGCAAATACCTCATCACTTACTGACCATATTCAGACGAGGCTTTTACAATGCCAGCAATCGATACTCATTGAATAATGAGTATAAGTGCGTTTCGTTTCGCAACCTCCTGGGGTTGAGGGCAGACAGCCTGACCCTGCTTAATCAACTCAAGCCCCAGTTATTTGCCTCCGGACAACAGAATTACTGAAAAACAACAGAATCATTACCAATACTGAGCTTTCGATGCACTGTGTAGCAAAGCTTAGAAACAGGCGTCTTCAAACCATAGCCATATTTTCAACATGGGAACGATTACATCGCGATAAATGAAATGTTTTTTTTGCGTACGTAATCCAAATCTATTTGTAGGCAGCTTTTCTATTTGTAAATTCTCTGCGCTGGTCTATCTAACGAACGATAGGTATGTGCCTGTTCATAGATATCTAAAAAGATCATGGTGCATTTCCATTTAGCTCTGCCCTATTTTATCTATCTATCTATCTATCTATCTATCTATCTATCTATCTATCTATCTATCTATCTATCGCAATCAATATGTGTCCCTATCTGTCGATCGGTCTATCACAATATGCTGCACAAAGTAAGCATAGACCTTTGAATTGAGCGCTGTCCATTGCTTAGACTGTTTACCAACTATTTGTAAAGAATCTATTATTATCTACTATTAAATCCATAACTGAGAGATAAAGAGAGGGATTTATATATTCCTTAAGGAGAAAGTTATTGCAACGAACTCAGTCGGAATTCGAACTCGGTTCACCGATTTCTGTCTCTCCGTCGCAATCTAGGTATATGTCTATCGCAATTTACCTATATGTTTGTCATGGAAACTCGCAGTCTAGTTCGGCTTAATGCGCCTTTATTAAGCGTAACTGAAGATTCTTTCCGATTTGACAAAGACGGCGTGACTTATTTATACAAATCATAAGACAAGGGAGGTAATCGAGTTGTCTTACAACATTCTCCCTGGCTTTGCTTTCTCGTAGTCCGGCACCAAATCATTCAAGTGACCGAGTCTCTTGACAATTCTCTGGTATTGGCTCGGTGACAGATGATTTGGGCTTTTAAGTGTTACGGGAACAGCTGGCCAGAAGTATTTTGTCTCATATTGTTTTTGACTCCTTCTTTCTTGATGTTTTGCATTAGTTCTTGTACAAAATAATGTTCTTATAGCATACAGAGACTCGGTTATTACGTCTTCCCAATCTAATTGGAAGTTTTTGATTTTTAAGTGCTAACTGTAGGGCATATTATGCTATTATATCTCTTGCACTATCGATTCCCTTGAAGATTGTATGGCGTAGTCCTGGACCAATGAGTATCTTCTTAGTTGATTGAACATAAAAGAGATCCGGCAATTTGTATAAATATAAGCTGGCGCCCCAAATGTTGAGAACAGTGAAGAAAGACAGCGTATGACGGTTACTGCACTTACATCTGGATAGGGAAAGGCAAAAAGCGAATCGCCAGTAGTCATCAACGACAGTTAGTACATATTTATTTGGGGATTTAAATGAAAGATGGCTCGAAAAGTCCACGCTCAGCCTATCAAATGGCTGTGTAGCTTTTACTAGGGTTCCCTGTTTGGGTCGTTTGAACTAATGGACTAGTAATACTCTGAGTACTTAGTAAGGCCTCTGAAACACTTGTTTGTAGGTATGAACAAGATTGTTTTTCTGCCATCTCCACTGTAAGTGCCTGCTTTCAAGCAGTACCTAAATCTAGTTGTTTATTTTGCAGCAAGCTTTGACGGATAGAGTTCGATTCTAATCCATTTATAAAAGAGTCTTTGATAAATTCATCCTTTGCCTAATCTGCTGTCTGGACTCTAAAGTCGCAGTCGCAAGTTAACATTTTTAAGCACTGAAGATACTTTTCTACCCCGCACCCCTCAGGGGATTGGCGGGGAGTTGCTAACACATTCCAGGTAAAGATTAGGTTTCGTCTCTTCACAAAAATTCCCTCAAAACTTCCATGGCACTCTGGTAAGTTTTACAGCGAAAAATATTGGTATATACGGATATGGAAATAAGGTGCATTAGCAAATTAAGTCATTCCGTATTATTAACAGGGGTAGATGAACTGTTTTCCAGTGCAAGCAAGAATCCTTTGAATAATCGTTTGTAATATTGCCAGGTGTTAGTAGAAGACGGGTTGTCAGATTCCAAGTCGAGAGGTTCTGGTTTAAGGTATTTGTACACAATTACGTTCAATAAATTGTAATGAAAACTTGGAGTTTAGTCCAACCCAACGTAACTAAAGAATCTTGCCGTTTTGGCTAAGACTGTGTGGTTTATTTATACACATCATAAAACCGGGGAGGTAATCGGGTTGATAACCACATTCTCCCTGGCTTTGTTTTTTCCTAGTCCGACATAAAATCATTCAGGTGACTGGGTCTCTTGACAATTCTCTTGGATTGTCTCGGTGGCCATTGATTTAGCCTTTCAAGTTCTATGTGAACTGCTTGCTGTACAAAACTCATTAAATTGGAAATTCTTACAAAAATCAGATAAGTGTTGCATTTTAATGAAACTTTCAGAACATATTTACAAATGAGGGAAATTATGTTTGTAATGTATTTTGAGAAAATATTTGAAAAATATTTTTTTACATTTGTTAGAATTTAATTTTATGAAATTTCCTGAAATTCTTTTTTGTAACATTTATATTAGTTATTTATAACAAATTAAATCATCAAATCTTTTTCTTCAAACAGGTCTCCAGTTGCAGAAAATCTGCTCTGTGTTGTAAAATAAAAAATTGAATAAAAATAAGACGTTATTTAATTAAAAAAAACTTGTAATAATAAATGTATAAAACTTGTATAAAAAAATAGTTTAGTTCGGCTTAATGTGCCTTTACTGAGCGTAAATGAAGAGTCTTTTTGTTTTAGCTAAGATGGTGAGACTTATACAAATCATAAAACAGGGGAGATAATCAGTCAGTTATGTGCCATCCGTGATAAACCCTTAGGCGATCATATATCTTTCAATACATGACTGAGGAGGCAGATTTTTTCCCTGCGGTAGAACAGTTGTCATCCAAGGCTATAGAATCCGGTCTTTCCTGCTATTTACTGGGGAGAAGATTAATACCTTTCCCAAAGGTATTAGCACGTAATAATTGGTTGTTTTAGTCTTTTTAATTCTTTTCTACTATTTTAACTTTTCTATTATTCTACGTTTCATGTTAGTTGTATTAGTTTTTATTACTTTCCAGATACCTTGTTTTCTTGAATATTACCAGCCATAGTAATATGTATGTCTCTGAATTTCTGTGATTGGGGAGGTGTAATTATTTATATTTTAGAACGCCATCTATTCATTAAAATCGTATTCACTTATAAAGCTTTTACAGATTCTAAAACATTTATTCAAGTGGACTGATTTTCTTCACGTTAATAAAATGTATAACTAATTTCTCAATCATTAGTCTGTTTTCCAACTACAATAGTATCAGTTCTTTAGTAATCAAGCCATGTGCATTGTACACCAAATTTCCGGCCATCTTTGTTGAATCGTCTTTCAATTTTTTATAACCTTTGAATTCTCCATTTATGTTTCTTATATTTTTTCACAGTCGTCCTCGGACTATTCTCTTAGATTTGGGAATTTTTTTCTGCTGGTACTACATTTGCAATTCGTTAGCCAATTACTTCATATTCGAAAATGACTAAGAATATTATAGTGTAACTTCATATCTCAGTATTATGTGAGGCTATAATAGCGTAGTCATTCTATATTCCGACATTCCTTCTGTCTGTCTAGGATGAAACCGTTCATTAAAGGCAAATGAGTACTTGAAAAGCGTTCCCTATTTTATCATTTATATAGGAAAATTCTATCGCATTCTCACTGATTATTGCTGGATGTAACTGTTACTTTTACTAGAATACAAAACGTACTTATCCTAATATAATTCTCTATAAGTTATCTGATACTACGTTGATCTTCTTGCGATGAAGAACGTCGATTCCTCTCACTGATTGCATTCTGTCAAAGAATGTCGAAATTATAAAGAAAGAAAAGAGCAATGAATAGACAATTTGTATGAGACAAGAGAATGGCCAATAACAAATACTGGAAAATATCAATAACCGTGAATGTGTGTGTGTGTGTGTGTGTGTGTAAGAGAGAGAGAGGGGGTGAGAGGGAGAGGGGGTGAGAGGGAGAGGTAAGGAGAGAGGGAGACTTCCAATATATGCGAGAGAGAGAGTCTAATCTAATTAATACTCTCTACGACAAGATTCAGAACAAAAATATATGCTCGTATTAAACGACCATTTTGTTAGCCACAGTCAAGAATTGGTCGAGAAAAATACGAAACGATGCAATAATAGATCTGATTGGATCGTGAAAGCAGAGAAATCACTTAAAGGCGGCCAATTAATAAAAGTATAGTCAAAAGCGTTGACGAAAAAGTCTGCTTTAAAAGCATTGCAAGGAAACAGAAACTAATCTGCGAACAGTGAGAAGTTTTAAAGTATCAAAACTGATGTAAGAACGAATCAATCTTTTTGCTGACCGCACTTAAATATCCAACAATTATATAGATGTACTGTTTTCTACCGCTGAACATAAAATATCATACATCAATGACTACAGTTGAAATAATAGTCCCCAATTCTGCCGGGCAACTAATTGTTAAATCCATAATATTTTCCATATGCTGCACCAGGTAAACTTACAGCTTTGAATTCGGCGTTGTCCGTCGTTTAAACCGGTTAGCAACGTCGCCTAATATTCTCTGCTACTTAGAAGAAAGGGATTTATACCTTCCTTAAGGGAGAAATATTCGTTCCGAGCTGCTCACCATTAGACCAGTTGTACCTTCTCTGAACGGAATAACAAAGAAGTATATATGCAATTCTATGTTCATTTTATAACGAATACTTCCTTAAGTATATTTGTCAAAATATTAACCTAAGAAATTGAGTCATGTTTTTAAATAGCCTCGCCAGATCTAGACTTTCTGATTGATGACATACAAGGCGTCTAATTCGTTCAGAAATTGTTAAGCTAGCAGTTATGCACAATCAATGATTAAAATGTCTTTAAGTATATTGAATCTTCTCGATCAGTGTTTCCCTTGTGGGCTTTGTTATGTTGAAAGGGGGCACTGGGATTTTTTAATTTCATTTTAAGGTTAGTGAACATACTCGGGGAGAGAGACATTTATACATTTTTTTTTTTGCAGATTTTCAAAACCGTTGGTTACAAAAGGAAATTTTGGAAAGGTAATGGAAGCTATCAAACTTTTCTTCGCTACTTTTCCAACTTCCTATATGACTGAATGTGGTTTCAATGTAGTTACACAGCTTCTTACTAAACAAAGAAACCGCCTTCAAATTACAAAACGAGGAGCTCTATAATTACGTCTAAGAAGCAAGGAACATTAAAAACATTGTGATAAGCTTTCAAATAAAAATTTTCTTGCATTTTAATTATTGGCATTTATAATAGAAATGAAAACAATATTAAAATTATTTTGGCACAAATCTTTAAGTCTTATCTTGCAATGGAATATCAATTCAGTATAATATTAGAAATTTAATTTGACAGTGGGGTGCGTTGACAAAAAAGCTTGTGCCTAAATGAGGCTTTGATTGAAAGAAAAATGGTTGGGAAAAGATTCTTTCTCAGGCCCTACCGACTGATGCTACGGAATCACAAAGAACATAACGAAATTACAAAACACCTCCAACTGTCTCAATAACTAAAATGGACTAATATAATCAAGAAGTTAACTATCTACACCAACTTAAACAAAAGAAAAATCGCATCAGTACTAGAAAAAGCGATAACAGTTTGTGGACTTGGGTAGCCTATTTTCCTGAAAAATGTTTTCAGAGAATTTTTTTATAAATTTCATATGACAGTTACACTAACTCTTCGATGAATGAATGTTGAATGTTTTCTGTATGGAAACAGTTATTTTCACCATTAGGATTTTCACTGAAAGGATTTAAGTACCAACCATATTGAATTAAAGATACGCAAAGAAAAGTAAAGAATGAGATAAATGCGAAAGCAATGAAAAAGAAAGAATAATAGTTTGAAATAAGACAGAAAAGGAAAGAAGAAATAGATTTTAAAAAGAAAAGCAATTCTTAAGAATAGCAAGTAGAGCTAGAAAGACTAGAAATTAGAAAGACTAAAAGAAATTAGAAGGGAAATAAAGAACAAGAGGACAGGGAAAATAAAACAGATGGAAATATTCGATTTGTTACGAAAATTGATAGCAAAATGTTATATAAATACCGAGGACGGCACTAGTTATTTTCTTTCTTTTTTTATGCAAACACGTCGATATCAGAATCAAATTCTGATCACGCCCATTCAGCCTACAGCTGTGTACGATTGCAATGAAGAAATATGAGTGAGATGAAAAGAATTGCCTGCTCTCTATTTTTTATATGGTTGATAGAATTACTTTCAGGTCCTGTTTGAGTGTCAATCTACGAGTTTACTATTTATACATGAAACGCACATACATGTGTGTGCGCGTGTGTGTGTTTTCGTATCTGTATACACACACACACGTACACGTTTGGGCACACACTCATGTATATATATAGAGAGATAGATAGATAGATAGATAGATAGATAGATAGATAGATATGCTTGTGTTTTTTGTGTGTATGATGATGTGCTGAAACGTAATCGGCAAAGCCCAAATCAGTATTCTGATTTTTAGTTACTGAGTTACATTCATTACAGTTAAGAGCACGAACAAGAATGGACGCTGAAATTTTAATTTTTGGGGGGAAATAACACACTCAATCCATTAGTTGCTCATCATAATTAGACAGACAACAATTTTGATTTACAAAAAGCTACTCTAACTAAAAGTAATTTACTAAGACAAAAATGTATAGAAAGTACTTTAATCGCTAGATCATCGACAGTACATTTAGGTCCATATTGTTACAATATTTCTTGGCAGATTTTCTATTATCACAATGTGGAATATTTAATAACAAAAGGGATAAAAACATAAACAAAACAAAAAAGAAACCAAATCAAATAGGTGAGATTATATACCCAAAAAACTATTTAAAAAAAAGAAGAAATTCAGTGTCTCCGAACGTAAGTAGATTTCCCTAAAATTGTTCTTGAAATATAATAATATATGTATTGTTCCCGCCCAAATATATATATATGCATAATAATTAGATTATGGACATAGGAATCAAAACAACATAATGACTATCAGTTTCCGCTTCATAGCGATCTTCAGAACAAGTGCCACAACTTGAATTTCAAAACGTAGTGTGAAACTTACGATTAAGATATCGTATTGAGTATTGTTTCCACTTTCAATATCTAGAAGCATCTAGATGAAACTATCTAGAAGTTGTTGAAATTCTTATTAAATCAGGTTATGCATTTTCTCCCTCAAACTATAACCAACGCTTTCCTCCTCTTGCCTATGTTCCGTAGGTATTTGTGGGTTTATTGTAATTTTTCGGTTCAAGCCCTGCACCGGATACCATAGGCAGAGACTCAGTAAAAACACGGCGAGCAATAACTGAGTAATACTAAAAAAAAGATTATATATCCTTATATATGAACAGCGGAATGAGAACATTAGAATTGATATTATCATTTTAATGTGATTGAAGCGAAAATAATTTATAATCCCCAGTGCAGGGATTGAGCTCACAGCCTTCACTCAACTAACTAGAGACTTTCGCTTTTAATGGCGATGCCATCTCTATTGACGAGAATAAGATCACCCAGTGGAGTTCTATAAAAGCCAATGATTTTTTTCTCGCTAGTCATTTTTTTGTCTGTTGCCTGGACAACCTTTGCCATTCAGTTTTAACCCCACTCAAAATGTTGGTCGGTTGCTGAGAAAGCCCTTCGGTGAGTGGAATAGAAGAAAAGAGAAAACTAGGATGTCAAAACAAGCAGACACTATAAGAATAATGACTATTACTTAATTTTACCTACAGCGAAGAAAGGATATAAATTGTAGATAATGGTATTACTCTTGCCATTTAAAAATTATGTTATTGTCACATACTGACGCAATCATTGAAAATTGTATTCTTGGGGAATAGTGCCAACAAGAAAACTTAAAACTCAAGAACTTTTCAGAGAATCCTCGCAGAGAAAATGATGGCAGTTTTCTAAAGGGCTACAATCTTGGTCTTCATTCCAATTTTCCTTAAGCGTCATTTCAGTTTTCCGGGTAGTGTTCCAAGTGCACCCATTAATACATGAATTAGTTCTACATTCATGTTCTATAGCTTCTTCAGCTCCCTAGCCAGATCCTGTTATTTTTTTTTATCTTTTCCGGTTCTTTGGAGTTCAATCTTATATCATATGGAACATCAAAGTTAATAATTTGACACTTGCTATTCTCCTTATCTATAAAATAAGCTCGGTTATGCTTCAAATATATGATCTGTCTAGACTGAGAAATCCCATAATATCTTCGACCTGTAATTTTATGCTCATATTTGACACTGAATCTCCTACTAATCGTATCCTGTTGTCTCTCTATGTACAAACTCTGGCCATTCAGTGTGTATTTGGTTAACTGTCTCCTCGGTTTGCCCACACATCATATATTTGCTTTATTCTTGTGATCTGTCTACCCTGGCCTTGATTGCATTAATTCTGATGGCCTGCTCATGTGCTGCAAATATGAGTTTCTTTCTGTTTCCCGCTTAAGAAAACCACTCCAAAACCACCACTCCGGCCAGACAATTGTCCTTGTCTACTGAAAAATGACCATGGAGCTTCTTTTCTTTTAACTTGTTGTGGCTCTTCTATCGCAGCTTCATTGCTAGAGTCACTGGTCGAATATTTCGCGCTTCCATATCGACATCCGTTCTATGTGCAGCTGGCAGGAGAAATCTTAACGTAATTCACAAGACTCAGAAGAGCGAATAACACTCATTAAAACTCTGCCTTCTTCCTTCTTTCTCTGAATATAAAACATATAAAAATCATTGTTTGAAGTCAGAGCCTTTAGCATATTCATCTACTTACGATTTCTTCTATCCATCCTCTCTAATTCTGTATTGTTCAAATCTAAGATTACTACAGAAAAATAGTGTAGCAGAGGGATTACATTATTATTATTATTATTATTATTATTATTATTTCGTTTTGATTTCTGGCGTTTACATTTTTTCCGGGCCCGTCCAGGGACCTAAGGTTAGAAATGGCGTCATGACACTTTCCACTGACAAAAAAAAAAAAAAAAAAAAAAAAAAAAAAGAATTAAATTACATAGATAAAGCCCTTCGTAAGGTGTGGGCTGTACTTGTCAGAACAATTTTTTTGTATCTCCTTGAGGCATGGACTTCCAGGAATCCCTTCAATTAGTCTACCGCAATCTTTCCAACCAGTCCTAGGGCTCCAACTACAACAGGATTGTTGATGTTTCCATATACCCACATTTTCGAGATTTCTATTTCAAAGGTCCTTGTACTTTGACAACTTTTTGAATATCTTCAAAGATACATTGCAGTCAGCAGGGACTGCCATATCAATAAGGAGGCATCGTTTTGTTTGTGGTCTTTAATAACAATATCTGGCCGGTTGGCCTTGATTGTTCTGTCAGTGTGTATTGTGTAGTCCCATAGAATTGTAACAGGTCCTTATTATTATTATTATTATTATTATTATTATTATTATTAACAACACTGAAAAAAGAGCACGATTTAAGAAAAGGAAAAGACAAGGAAAGATTCACTGTTTACTTTTCTTTTTCTTTTCTTAAGTCACGGTCTTCTCTAAGTGTTGAAGAATATTGGAAGAATTACGTCAATCATTTAGTCTATTTATTAGTATTATTAAAAGTAGAGATACGTAATGATTTACTAAATTTAAATCAATGTGCTGATATTGTAATGCGTGTCAGTGCAGGAATAGAATCGGCGAATAACAATCTGTAGAGATGAGACATGGAATCTTAAAAATCATTCAATATGAAGAGCAGAATTGTAGACTCATGACAGATTAAAATAAGTAACTATTTTAATGACAAAGACAGTTGATTTGTTGCTTACATTTATTAGAATTTTCTCCAGATATGTATAAAGATGAATTCAGTCTAATACAAGGGCAAGGATGTAACTCTCGGAGAATTGTCTCCAAATCTATTTAACTATCGCTTTAAGGGTGAAACCTAGATTAAATTGTGGGTGACAGTGTGCTTTTGATCTTTTCATTCATTAGTAGTAACGATCAAAGGCGTCTTCACTTTTACTGAATAACATTTTTGCAGCTCATTATCCGTGTCTCCGTTTTATTTATCTCTTTTTACTTGTAATTACATCTCTCATTAAGAAATGCTTGATGAATTGATACTATTGATTAATATCGATAGCAATCTCAGATATTAATTCACGACGAACGAGTTCAGCTCAGAATTTGTCAGGGATAAAAATTTCAAATAGGTGTTTGAAATATGACGGCAAACAATATTCAAAGAGAGACGAGATTATATTTGTACATCTATCTATCTATCTATCTATCTATCTATCTATCTATCTATCTATCTATGCTCAAATCTATGACAGTCTGCTCATATCTATCTATCTATCTATCTATCTATTTCTTTTTTATTTTATTTTTTTCTATCTATTACTTTTTTATTTTTTTTCTATCTATCTATTCAAACATGTCTCATTCAATGATTTAGATAAAGTTTTGTCTACTTATTTTTAATAGTATCCTCTCATAATTACGGACAAGTTTCTTAGTATCCTTATTAAATGAAGAAAGAAAATTAACATGTTGATGCATATTCATTTTATTCCGAGTACTTTCGACATTAGCACAATGTCGTCCTCAGATTCCTGTTTTTCTAAGCCCAAAATTGTAATGTTCATCATTTTTCTAACATGAAATTATTGTGCTCATCTGAAAATTAAAATTTTTGCATTTGAAGTGAAAAATGCTAAAGTTATGTGCTGTACAATTATTAAATCTTATCATGTAGGCACACGTGCCATCTTTCAAAAGAAAGCACAACCTTCGAGACATCGTAGTAGTGGTATGGCCAACATATATATTATTTTTTCTGTTGGAGATGCAATTTTCCAAGGAACATTTAAATTTATATACAATGTTGTTTTTCTGCAATACGTTAGTTAGTGTGGAGGAGTCAGTACTAATAATAAATAATTATTTTTAATTTTTTACTTTTTTGCTAGGATCTGTGGTGGATATATTAGTATTTATTAGATTTTTAAGAGATTTTCGTCCTGTTTATATATATATATATATATATATATATATATATTCATGAATCATTCATACAAAAAACAAATATAGAGGTTAATGATTTAAATGAGAATACATCTTCGCAAACAATATAAATAAGATACATCAACCCCGAACCTGTATATGAATGATATGATCCCTGTTCATAAAATTCATAAGGTCTTTTAACTTTTTACAAGCTTTCGTCTTTTAGACATCATCAGGTATGGAAATAGATTTTGTTCTTGTTTTCGTCTGTTAAAGAGGACAACGAAAATAGAGATGTAATCCAAAAAATGCTATGAGAAATATGTTTTGTTTTTTCTTGAGTTTGAATTTAAATTTTAAGGTTGTCTAAAATTTAAGGTGGTAGTTTTCCGTTTGGCATGAAATTTGTAAATTATAGTAGATCACCTTTCCGAAAGTTGCACGTTGAAATTTTAATTTAAAAGGTGCAATTATAATTTCAACAGTTGCAACTTTCAAACAAATAAAAAACAGGTGCAAAATTTCCTGTAATGATGTTCAGGGAACAGACGAAATATATTAAAAAGTTCATGCCATTTATGAACAGGGAAAATCATTCATATACCGGGTTGATGTATCTTAATATTGTTGCGAAGAATTCTCATTTTTTTAACAAATTTGTTTTTGTATGAATGATTATAAATTATAATTGCACCTTTAATTATAAATATATATATATATATATATATATATATATATATATAGAGAGAGAGAGAGAGAGACTCATTCACTCGTTTCGACCTTTAGGACTTCATTGGACTGTGATGTTTATGCTGTTGCAGTTGCACGTGCGCGTGGAGGTGAGGGGTCATTGAGCATTTAAAATTAAAAAAAAAATTGGGGGGGGGATACCGTGTTGGCATATAGTTTAGCTGATTTATTTTCTGTTTGTTTTTGTCACTTTTTATTGCAGGTCCCATGATGTATTGGTGGATTATCTGTCGAGAGTGTTGAAGTGTTTTAAGAACTTGGGCATGAGTTTACTGTGGATGATTTGGTAGTTGGGGCATTTTTTAAAAATATTTATAAACATTTGGGGTTACAAATCCTGAATGTTTTTATATTGAATCTGATGCTAATTCCCGATTTTATTTTATGGTAAGAATAGAAATTTGAGATCTTTTTATTATAGGGGAAATGGATTAAAAGTCTTTTTGAGCTCCTCGAGTTCCTTAGTTGTTTCATATTCAACACGGAACGGGGCTTGTGAATTGCTTCAAAATAATTAAAAAAATTATTTCATGGTGGGCCTTTCTGACAGACCCAACCTTTCTGGTAGAACCAAGGGTATAGTGTTCTTGTCTTTAACTCGAATGCAACAATAGTTGAATGGAGTGTGTCTGTCTTAACATGGAATTTGTTACCATTTCTAAAACAGTGGAACTTAATTAGTTCAAAGCAAACTAAACTAAGACTCATTAACTAAGAGTTTACTGTCACCTGTGGTATTTTCCGCAGGGAATGCATGGAAAACTTGGAAAGCTTGAGTGGAGCATTGTATGAACGCGGAAGGGATCTTTTACAAAAATCACTCCATGCATTGGTTGCTCAATGTAATGATTCTGACCATAATCTAAAAAATGGTACTCTAGGCAAGATTATTTTGCTAAGACGAAGATATATGGAAAGTGCTTTGATTGCTGGATATATATTTATGTCCAGGTTCTTACATTTCACTGTTCTTGACATAGCTTATGTTGTTGCATTACCAATACATACCAACTAAAAGAACCCTAAAAAAAAGATATGTAGAAATTTATTTATATCTAGAATGTAATGAGAAAAGAAAAGTTGAAAAAAGAAATAAAAATAAATCTAAGAAAATACGAAATTAATATCTCTAATTACAATATACATATAGAGTTAAAAAGATAAGTCCAAAGTAAATAAAATCAAAATATAATAAAAGATAATTCAATAAAGAAACCTTATAATAAGAAAATAGGAAAAAAGACAGTAAGTGTAAAATTGAAGATATTATTGATGGTCACCAATGTATTACTAGTAATTTAGTGATAGAGAAAATATATTTTGTAACAGGTAATTGATGAGAAATTTTAGAAACGAGTGCCGTAAAAGAAAAAGGACAGCAACGGAACATTTGAATATTGAACCGCACCTGAAGAAATATAGATTCCAGAGGAAGTCATCTGAAAGGGAAGGTGTTGAACATAGATCGCCAGTGAGCAAACACAGCCGATCCCATTATTAAATTAAGTAGACCACGTGACCATATAGGAAACGCATATATGTAGGTAGTAAGTGACGACTAGTCAGTTATATACCATGCGTGATACACGCTTAGGCGATCATGTATTTTTCGATACATGACTGAAGAAGCAGATTTATTTCCCGCAGTAGGTAGCCACTTCCTTCTGCGGTAGACCAGTTGCCATCAAAGGCTATAGAAGCCGGTCTGTCTGCTATTTCTCCATAGCTGGGGATTGGGGGGGGAGAATAAGAGGATTCATACCTTTCTCAAGGATATTAGCACTTAAGAGAATGTAATTGATTCGACTGGAATTCGAACTCGGCACTCTGATTCCTCAATCCGAGCCACTGTTGAGGTAGCTGACGATTAACGTTCTGTATTTCTACTATACGGACCGCTATTCTCTATTCTATTCACTATAATATTCCTCTTTTCGGATCACTATACGGATTATTATTCGAGGGAGTATTATCGAGAAAGTACTATTGTTGGTGCGGGTATTGGACAACGGCATACTATAGCTGTATCTGCAGGTACAAAGTCTTTACTACAACGAGTATTACGAAAGTGGCAGCGAGTATTCGTTAGAATTACAAAAGTGTCAACGAGCGTTCGTTGGCATCACAAAATTTATCATTCAATCACTGGTTTTAAAAATTCTTGTAATTTAAAAAAAAATAATAAGCTGAAAATGATCATAAACCTTATGTAACCTTAATTCCTATTGTTTGAAATGTGTGTGTGTGTGTGCGCGGCATTTAGTGGAAAGTGTTCAATATCGATAGAGATAGAGATAACATATGCAATGGATAGTAGTTTAGAATCGTAGGTTTCACGCATTCGCGATCTTCAGACAAACTCAAAAAAAGCGTGAATGCCGACGTTACAAACTACTATCCAAGCAACCGTATGTATGTGTGTGTGTATATATATGTGTATGTGTGTTTCTGTGTGTACCGGAAAAGGCGTGTGCAACCGGAGAAGTAATAATTTTAAAACACGGATCTACAAATTTTAATTAATTTTATATTTATTAAAGTATTAGTTTTCTTTCAAATTGAAAGAAAAGACTGATACACACAATATATTTGTTTTCCTCGTTCTTAACAGAGGAAATTTTTTGTTTGTAATTATGTTGTTGACGTTTAAAAATGTGTGCGTAGTTTTCTACATGGTTTTAAGTGTGGATAAATTATAGTAAATAACTTCCACCGCCAAGACACGAAAGGTGAGTGGAAAAGGAAGGTGAGGGAATGCGTTCCCTTGAGGAAGAAAAAAATTATTTTTTATCGTTGGACGATTCAAACGATACGCGCGTCTCATTTGACGTTGCTGATTGGCTTAATCTATACGACTACAAAATTCAAATATTTGGATTTGGAGTTACTTTCGGTGACAGTACTTAAATACATTAACATTTGAAACGTGCCTACACACACACACACACACACACACACACACACACACACACACACACACACATATTGGTTAAAATATACTTATCTCAGTCTGTTCATATCTATCTATCTATCTATGTGTACGCTCGTATGTATGTGAGTTTGTCGGTGTGCATGAGAGTGTCTATGCCTGATCGATTGTTAGTGAGTTCCCAAAAGTCAAATGCGTTTCAAGTTCCTAGGCAAATTGATAAACCTAATTGTATATTTCCAGCAGGAATACATTCAATCATATAATTTTCTATTATATATGTAATTATAAAAAGCGAAAATTACATAAATATTTACAGAATTACAACAAGAGCCTATCTTATTTCCATCCAATTATTACTCGAAATAAATTCATGATATGAACAAATATCGTTGCAATTTTTATAAACACATTTCGTGTTTAAATGCGATACTTCTCCAAAATGTTGAGCCTATAATGTCATTATTTAATAACCTCTTACTTTTTGAAATATTAACATGGCCACAGTAGGCGAGAAGAAATATCATGAAAATTGAATACGTATATTGGCGTCTATTTGCTCGCGGCTCAGGATTGACTGCCTTGGGGGCGGAACCCCACTTATCAGCGAGGCGCAGATCAGGTGTAGTGCAGCATGAAAATGCCTAGACTAATTTTCAATTAATAGGAGTTTTTTCTCAATAGAAAAGAGAAATACTGTGAGATGGATTTGGAGAATTAGAGATAATGGAAAATGTATGACATTAGATGAAGCCATATGTATATAGGCTTACAGATCAGTCAGTTATGTTCCATCATTTCGATACATGACTGACAAGGCAGACTTTTTTCCCGCAGTAGGTTGCCATTTCTTTCTGCGGGAGACCAGTTGCCATCCAAGGAATTAGAAGCCCGTCTGTCTTGGATTCGACTGGAATTCGAACTCGGCTCTCCTATTCCTTAATCCAAGCCGCTATCCATTACTCAACCGTGGCATAGATATGAACCAACTGCGGAATATAGTTATATAGTTATAGCGTCCATGGCCCCTAAGATGACGCTTGAGACCAGTATTCGATTTCATAGCTGCCAGGCATATATGCTACATAAACTCTGTATCCTTGATTGGGTTGATTGGATCTAAATTGCTTAAAACATTCCTGTGTACCACCATGTGCCGTTTCAGTCCAGATGATGATCGGCAAACCTTGTTGCAATGTGTTGGCAGGGCAATGAGACAGGTTGGAATCGTTGGCTTGCTTCTGGTTGTTGAACTTTCAGAAGGTTTACTTAACATTAAACTGCCCTCGACAAGAGGATGTTTTCGCAAACACCACATTTACAAGACAGCGTATTAATTGGCAAATCAGAGTAGGTACTTTATTGTAGATCACGTTGGAACACACATAAACATAGAAACATACAGATATAGAAAACACAGGAACACACAGACAAATAGATATAGATACATACAAACAAAATTAAAACTTATGTACATATAATAGCTGACAACTCGTATTCGAGGATACCCGTCTACTAGAGCGGCTAGCCAATCCCTATTGCATACCCCGCTCAGGCACGTTTGTGTTTGCTCAATAGCCACAGAGCCCACCTGTGGAGCAGACCTTAGTATCTGTGAGAGAGCGTGTTATTTAGCATGATGAAAGATATGAACAAGGCCAGCACGCTGAAGCTGTCGTCCACGATGACTTGTGACTTCGTGCTAGCACAGCTATCAACGGCCCCCAAGGGTTCCGTCTACCCAATTTCATTCACAATGCTAGGGTCATTCCGTGTTTTGGTACCGCATGCTGGGATCGACCCTTCCAATCCTGACAAATCCATCATGATGAGATTCGAACTCGAGTATCATGGTCAGAAAGCAAACGTTCTAATCACTCGCTTATATACATATACATAGATAAATACAAACCAACAAAGACGTACGTTCATACATACATAAATATAGATTCATACATACATAAATAGATACATACATATTGATACAGATTTTTTGAACAAACGCAAATGAGTCTAAATCAGACGTCTCCAACGGAGTCACTGCCAGACAGGTAAACAAACAAGCGACGCCCTCCCACATATATATTATTTCCGTTAAGTTAACCGATTAAATAGGTCAATGTCTGGTCCCTCCTTCCTCAATACTAAGTATGATAGAAAGAAATATTAAAATAAACCCTCTCTAAACTCGACCATGTCTCTCACACCACTCCTCGCTACCCTCTCTGTTAAATTACATAAACTTAATACTACCCATCAAAAGTGTAAATTTTCATTTCATTTTTGTTTCAACTTTTTGGAAGTGATGTGTGATGATCCAGCGTCCTTTAAAAGGTCTCTAGTGAAATAAATTATTACAATGGAACCTTAAAGTGATCTGTTTTTCTTTAAATTATTAGCTCTGAATTTACATTGAGCTCTCAGGATTTCATCCTCCTTGGGACTACCCATACAGATTACCAAATTTTTTCTTATAACTTATATATATATATATATATATATATATATATATATATATATATATATATATATATATATATATATATACTTTCTATGCATCTATGTATATATGCATGTTTTATATTTACATATTGATGCATTACATTTTTATATTAAACTTCAAGAAGCTTGATACTAACAAACAAGAAAACAAAAATGGATGGTTCAAATGTCTGGTATGCATAAAGTGAAAAGAAGATCTGAATAATTTAACGACCACATGGCATACTGAAAATAAGAAAAGTAAAAGGGAACAGCGATTAATCTGCTTATATAGCAGGCCAGTAATGATCCTATAGCCTTGGCTAGCAACAAGTCTAGTAGAAGGACAACTCTGAATCCTGAGGGCCTAACGTATGGACCAAGGCCGGCTCACACCATATTTCGTGATTTTCGGCTGTCGGTCAAGAGCTTGGAGAGGAGATGAACGCTGTCAAGCTCTCTAAATGACTATGATCATGAAAGGTACATGAGGAAGAATCAAAGTCTGTTTCTTATGTCCTCAGGTCCCCACCCCAGACGAGTGAAAAAGTCGAGGGTCTGCTGATGATGATATATCTACCGATGTACTACCGTCAATATTTTTATTATGTTCCTTGCATGTGTATACGCCATTTCTTTTTGAGATGTAGTGTATGTAGAAATTTTTCTAATGATTGTACCTCCCGAACGCTTTTAATAAATTTTGGATGTGTTATTGCAATTAGTGTGAAGATTGCTGAGAGTTACACATATATTTAGTTACGTAAAATTGTCAGGTACATTATGGCCGTATTCGTATTTTATGTTGTTAAATTTTGTTTTTATGGTGAGTGATTAATTGTTCTTTTTCATTTAAAGGTGTGTATTATATTTGTGTTTAAAACGAGAATGTTGGGATATTTTCATATTGGCTTAAATGACTCCTTATTGATCTATAATGCGGCAGATGTAGGATGTAATACAAACACGCTACACTCGCTCACACATACACACACAACACACAAAACACACACACACACACACACACACACACATATATATATATATATATATATATATATATATATATAATAAGAAGGCAGTTTTAAGTTATATTGTATTTATAGGTTGAAGTGTTCAATATCAGGGTAGAGCATATGTAAATATAAAATTGGACACTCACACAAGTCACCACACACTGGCGGCAGTCTGTTTATGCTTAAACGCAATCTATAGACCATATATATATATATATATATATATATATATATATATATATATATATATATATATATATATATATATATATATTAAAAGATTGGTAGTGGAATGCTTATTCTTATTTTTACAGACATTACTTCTTGCCGAATAGTATAGATCGTAAATATAACTGATTCGAATTCATATTTACGTTTCTTCTGACTCTTCAATCAATTCATCTATTTGCTAATGAATTTTTAATTCGAAGCTGCGAAGCAAGGAAATGTTGATACTTAGATTTCATTTAAGATATCAAGTGATTTAAATTATCTGTCATTTATTCTCGGGACAGATTTACCAGGTTCAACAGGAAATCTATCTATCTATCTATCTATCTATCTATCTATCTATCTATCTCAGTCATTATTGTAAAATGACGTGTCAATTCCACTTCTTAAACGATCAACATGTTTATTTCTATATCCATAATTTTTATACCTGCAAGTTCTTATCCCTGATATTGATTTCTTAACCCCCATAATACCGAACTTATAATTTCATGATAGTGTGGAAGGTTTGTGATGTAACATCTATACTTTTCGGAAGAATTGAATACAGAAAAGAGTTGCACGAATCTCTTCCCCACAAAAATTAAGAATACTGATTTTATACTGAGAGAGTGGGGGAAAGAAAGATGTAACTTTATTATCGTGCAGGAAGTGGGGGGGGATGGTGGGTATATATGAATTTACAGTGAGACCTAAAGAGTTTGTCTCAATTGTATTAACTGACATTAGGACACGTTAATTCTTAATTCTTCAATAAAATAAATATCACCTATAGTATTTTAAGTGTTTGTTTTTCATTATATAATAATTATTGCTTTGTCTTTGACATAGAGCTCTCAACGGATCTATAATCCTCTTGGATATTCTATACGGATTACCAATAATTTTATTATATATAATAATATTATATATATATATATATATATATATATATATATATATATATATATATATATATATCGAATCAGTTTAATAAATATAAATTTGAAAACAGAATGTACATAGAAACGTTAAGGGTATATTGACTATTAATGTCTAAATTTAAATTTTGACGTCTGACATCCGCTATATCCAGATGCTAAACATATCTGATTAAACATTTTTCTCCCATTCGTTCAATATAAACCGTTTTTTGATACTGTCATTAGTTTACTTACACTTATATATGTGCATGTAAATGTGTTTGTTTGTATGAGTCTATGTGTGTGTAGTTGACACTGAATATAGTTTTATAATAAGTTATTTACCAATAAATCAATCACTTTAAATAATGCTTCATTTCTCATGTGGTTTCCTAATCACGATTATTAACCATTGTCATCTATTTTCTAACTTTTGTTCTTCTGTATATCAAATAGTGTTCGTTTCCGTTTCATTTTGTTCCTCTCATCTTCCCATTACATTTGATTTTTTGTTCCCTCAGCAGTCTTCCGTTTCAGTTGGTGAAATTTTTCCAAAACGCTTCCGCCATCTTGTTACAGTTGCCATCATCTGCCTAACTGCTATAAGTAAATATTTCTATCCGTTGTCACAGCATTCTCATCGAAATTATCAGGCAAAAAATAACAGTTGTGGAAAGCAGTTGTAGAGAAAAGATAAAGGGCTGTAATCATACGTGGTTTGTGCATGGAGGAATGATAGGTTTCTATTCTTTGAGCGTTTTTCTTTTTTTTTTTTTTGAATGATAAACCAACGGGACTCGTAAAAAAACGTCAACTAAAACAGCACTTACAGTGATTGCTGAAAGATTTATATTCAGCCATAGAAACCTATCAGAAAAATATCTGATATACAGAGATGTTTTAACATAAGTAAACATCAAAATTCTCTCTGAAAACGGCACAATGCCCGCGAATGTAGCAATACACACACACGCACACAGACACAGACACACACACACACACACACACACACACACATATATATATATATATATATATATATATATATATATATATATATATATAATAGGCCAGGCAGACAGTACAATACGGAGTTTCAAGCTCTATAGCATGAAACTCTGAAATGTACTTTCAGCGTGGGTATTATTATATTTATAAAGATATTATTAGCTCTGTTATTTAGCATTGAACATATATTTACTTACATCAAAGTGAATATATATATATATATATATATATATATTTATTTACCCATCAAATGAATATATATATATATTCACTTTGATGTTAAATAATATACATATATATATATATATATATATATATATATATATATATATATATATATATATATATTCAACCTCCCGACTTGAGTGCCGTAGGTGGACCTGTCCGTCCATTCTTCAGAGGGTATCTGCAATCTGCTTATATTTTTTCTATTTTCCCCTTTTATATATATTCTCTGTATTCGTGTGTGCGCTTACTGTCATGCGCCTATCTGTCCGTACGGATGTGCCTACAGGAAGTCGTTATCGTTTTCACCTTTTCCTCGTTTTTCTCTCTTTACAATCACCTATTTAGGCCTTCACTATTTTTCCCTTTTTTCCGTCTGTAACTAGTTTTGTCAGGGCTACTTCCGATTCCAGACATGAGACCAATTTTTATTTTTTATGGGAGTTTTTTTTTTTTTGCTAGGAAGTTGCATTTCATTTCTATATATAAATAATTGATATTAATTTATATATATATATATATATATATATATATATATATATATATATATATATATATATATATATATATCATATAAATACTGTACAAATGTTTTAAAATATTTACAGTAGATAGTTTAAAATATCGAGATTTGTACCAATAGTTTTATGAATATTTCTTGAAACTCTCGACAACATTATACTTAGCTACTTCCAATGAAGTTTAATCAAGACAATCACAGTACTCATACCGCGTTCTTCACTTCCCAAGTAGAAAAAAATTAACTTTCAGGGGAACACAGCAATATTCCCTTTGAAAATGATAAACACTACAATATTTATCTCGAATAATCAACACACAGATGATGACATTGTGCTATATCGAAAGTACTCGGAATAAAATAATATGTATGAACACGGTCATTTTCTCTCTTTACTCACTAAAAATATTGTCTGTGAATATGAAAGAACCCAACTGAAAATAAGCAGACAAATTATCCAATGAAACATGTCTCACTGAAAATGATGATACCAATATATATATATATATATATATATATATATATATATATATATATATATATATATATATATAAAGATACAGACACACTCACAACACACAGACATGCACACATATATATGATACTGATGATATTAATGCAGAAATGGTACGTGTTTTGTATGAATATTTAGTATTACAGTTTAAATGATAAATATTTTTTATTTATATTTATATATATATATATATATATATATATATATATATATATATATATAATATTAATTATATTAATGATTTACATAGTAAATACTTATACACATGCACATACAAACACATTAATACATACACATCTATATATATACATACATGCTGTTACATATGTTTATATATCTTCACTGGGCTATTATTCCGTATTTTAATTTGGTTTGGTGGTAAGAATTAATTCAGGATATATATATATATATATATATATATATATATATATGTATATATATATATATATAGGTTTTGACAATTGCTTACGATTAATCTCCTTGGAAAAGTAAGTGCCGGCATTCTGTTGGTTTTAGCGAATTAAGTATAACTTCAACCATTTCCCTCGGTATCGGCTGCTGCCCAGGTACCCCAGGACTTGTGAGCTCCTCTAGTCATGAGTCACTAAACTTGGGAGTCTGCTAAAACTAAAAATAACAGGTATAAGAAGAAGTGGCTCCTTTAAACTAATATAAATAATTTAGACTATTTAGGCTTCTCTAGTTGGAGTGGGTCTTTTAACTTTGACAGGGTTCTTATAGATTTTAATGCGTCTTTTTTTTTATATACATATTGATTTTTGATGAAACTTTTCCTGCAAAAGATTAATAAAATTTCAATTATATTTCTTTTTGTATTGTCAATATTATTATTATATAAATAATACTTTTTAAATGCATCCATTGTTTCAAAATATTTTATTCAGTGCTGATGAAGCGTATTATCGTAAGTGTTAGGTTACATTGGGTACGAATTAATGATTCCTTCACTTTGAAACTTTGTCTGACCCAATGATCACCAGATTGTGTTGCCAGGAAATCTGTTGTCTAGCCCAGCAGCGTGTGTATGAAATGATATTTACAAATACATTGTTAAACATTTGCCATATTTAAAGAGATACAGGGTTCAAAATCATCGATAGTACCATTATAGATATAAACAGTATGGAAATTGAAATCCAAATTGTATGGTGGCAATGAATTTAACGTTTCGATGATAACTTAAAATGCAGTGCCAGTATTTTAACGGGCTGTATGTATAGCAGGATGTGTATATAGATCATTATGGAATTAAATGTATTGGGAGAAGAGTGTTCAACAATGTATACATATTGACAAATTATGAACATATGAATTAACACTACATAGTGACTGTCAGTTTTATCACTAAGTGCGATTTTCAACCTTAATATCATTAATCTAATATCAAGTTGAATATATAACGGGTTGGGTAGACCACTTCGAGGCGGTGCAATAGCTAGCAAGCTTGTCTGGATAAATCGACTACAACTGAGTAGTGAGTTCGGCCCTCACTAGGTGCTCCATGATTTGGGCCTTGTGCCACATCAAAGCTACGCTTAGCAAATGACTATAGCGGGTGGCGTACGTAGATCGCTATCGGTTACTGTCAGTTTCACACCTCAATTTGATAATCAGACCAAGATATGAAGATCGCATTGAGGCGGGTAACTAACAGTAAGCATCGAGTGTTTATTCTTATGAAATTGATTAAGATTATATTAACAGAAAAGCAGCGTTTTACAAAAAAACAAAAACCCAACATTAAATGCATTAGCTGTTCACTAACCCAGGTGACCATAATTTTGACACGAAAAATGCTACTCTGATGAAAGGAGAAAACAATTCAGTAAGACGAAAATGTTTAGAGAATACTTTGATTGCAATGTTATCTACAGTAAATTTGCGTCCTCGTTCTTACAGCATTTCACCATTTCTGACAGATAACAAAAGTGATGGAAAAGAAAAATAATATAAATGATATCCACTAGATTATATACAAAAAATAAATAAAATTAAATTCCCAGCATCCCTCGTTCGTGCGCATGTGTAGTTACATCAGCGTAACAAATGTAGACCGATGGATGAAACGCGTCACAGGAAACTTTTTTTTCACTTTCTCAGTTCCTCTTTCCCAATATTGTTCTTGATATGCAAAATTTATATATCTTTATCTCATATATAT